TGCTGTTCCTTGTACCCACAGGAGTGCCCGTGCGCAGCGGAGATGCCACCTTCCCCAAAGCTATGGACAACGTGACGGTCCGGCAGGGGGAGAGCGCCACCCTCAGGTAGGGAGCTGTCTTTCTTCTATGAATTAACAATGATTTGTATGGGTTGTGGGGGGAGAGGGGCAGGGGTGCAGGTGTGAGCTCTGGCGCAGCTGGCACGGAGGTCGCTGGTTCCTTGGGCTGCACGATTCATGGATGGGGAGCTGAGTGCTCTGCCCCGGGAACGTGGTGGTGTTAGGGAAACGCTCAGAGGTTGGGGAGATGAGCTGTTTCTCCAAAATTGGCCTCCTTGGCTCAGGACTTGGTAAGCGTGAGGGGCGGCTAAGACAGGGAGTCACTGAAATTGAGGACAGTGGCATGGACACTGTGTGTGCCCGAACCTGGTGGCCATGGTGACTGGGGACCTGGCTGGGGCTCAGCATGAACAGTCATCTCTGAAGTTAATGAGTCCCAAAGGATGAGTCTGGCTCCGTTTGAATGCCTTCACTCTGCCTATGCCATGGGGTGTTGCCAGTGGGCTCCTGTATTCTGGCAGACCTGATGTTTTGTCCTGGGCTTGACTGTGTCTGGGCTTTCCTGGGGTGCCTTCATGCCATGAGCTGGTGGGCAGAAGGACATGCTTTTTCCTGTCGAAATATGGCTTTCTGAGATTGAAGTCCTGGAGATGAGTCTGATTTGTCCATGGAAAACATCATTTACTCTGGTTAGCTGTTCCCTCTTTTTTTTTTTTTTCCCCACTAAAATGGTGTGTGCAAAACTCATCTACTGAAAAGATAGGATATTTCAATGTTGAGTTGGGTCCTGATGGGTTTCTGGGGTTAAGGCTTACAGAAACCGAGGAGGAGAAGAATCTTGGCTATATTTTGTGTAAGATGGGATGAGTCTATGTCCCTGATCACCCTGCCTACTGACTTGTTAACTCAATTTCCAGTGTCTAAGAAATGTATCACTCATGAGAGGGTAACAGAGAATTAGTGATGATAATGGGAAATCTTACTCTTTAGAGAGAGTCAGCATGAGGCAGAAGTTAAGAAGGTTCATATGAAGAATCATTTCTCTGCCTCTCTTTGATTTAATACTCTCTCTTACTTAAAGTTTTCCAAACTGGGCTACTGAGCTGACTCTAAGGCAACATGGCAATATTCCCATGCTTTGCATTCAAAGATTCTTAGAAAGATAATCGTGGTACTGGTGTCCATTGTTTTACCCCTGGTGACTGTTCTTTTAAAATTGCATTGTTTGTGGATGGTACGCTTAAGGGAATATCCACAGGATAGAAAATGTCGAGAAGGGGGCTCTGGCAATACAGAGCTGACTTGTCAGGACATTGCCAAATGAAGTGTGTGATTTAAGGACATATGTAAGGCCTACAAACATCCCGTGCTCCATTGTCTTTGAGGAGCTAACCCCCAAAGCCCCAGTGAACTCCTAGTTACCCATTGGCTCAGAAAACCCACCTCTTCCACTAAGCCCTTCAGCAACTACTTTGGACAAAGGTTAAATATCTAACTGCCTCCCACCCCAGAATTACTGTATCTGCTTTGTCAAGTGATGTCATGGAGCTCTAAAAATGTTGTGATTTCAGTCTGCCTAAAAGAGAAGTGCAAAAATGAAGCCTTAACACAATACGATGATGAATTTAGTGTTCTCTGGATGTTCCCTTTGTCCCTAACCTTAGCTGCAAGGAGTGGTCCCAAAGAGATGAAATAGAGACAGTCTCACATGGAGAACATTTTAGAAACAGATGAGATGGTATTTTCAAGGAGAAGGTGGAAGGTAGTCAGCTCTGTGGAGATTTGGAGATAAAGAAATAGCAAAGGGGCCTTATAGACAATTGTCCCATATTGTAATGGGGATCATTTGAAGGGGGGTTGGATGAGCCAGGATCTGGTCTTCAGAAAGCATCTTCCTAGTCTCATGAGAATTAAGACTCTCTAGAGAGTGGCTGAATTTGGCAGATGTTGAGCCAGGGCATGGGCTTTAGTTAGGAACAGCTTCTACTTAAAATTGCATTATCATGGACTAGCTGCTTCCCTTTCTTTATCTTTCCCTCCATGCCTTTCTTGCTCACTCTGGGCTTACCTGTCCCTTGTCTCTTTCAAGTGCTAATGTTTCTTTGCATTTTCACATCTTCTCTGGTCTTATTTGGGTGTAGAAGGAGGAAGTGGAATATGATGGGGCTTCTTCTCTAGACCCAACACTGCTGTGACATAAAAAGACTCTCTTAGAACATCTCCTGCCATTCTGTGCCAGCCCCTGGGACGAAATGTCTAAGTGACATAAGGAGGAAGACACTTCCAGTGGATGGAGCCTTATAGGGCAGGGATTAGAGGAGCTAGGATGTGACTGACACTGACCCACTGGCTAGGGCCTGATTTAGGATGTGAATCGGGCTGCAGGTGTATCAGATGACCTGCACAAAGGATGCTCATGTTCTGCAGGATAACCTTCATTCTTCCCAGGCTCTTATGCACTAGAACAAGCAAGGTCCGCCATGCTGAGGTGTTCTTTTGTGGAGTTGGAGCCTTTGAACCCTCAAACACAGTCTTTGTAATTTGGTGTGCAAAGAAGCAAATAGGAATTTCAGAATGTATTTTGTTTGCATAAAATTTGCTAAGTTTGCAAACCTGATTCTAGATTGTTGTAGTGCAGTGTCTCAGGGCTCTGGAATTTTGTTTTTTTTTTATTTTTATTTTTTGGAGTTTTTCTTTCTTTTTTGTGTATTTATGTGGATCTTTTCATTTTATTTCCCTCTTTATCTTCTTCCTTCCTTTCTTCCTTCCTTCCTTCCTTCCTTCCTTCCCCTCAATCTCCTTCTCTCTCTCTCTCTCTCTCTCTTTCTCTCTTCTTTTCTTTTTCAGCATGCAACTAAGCTACACAGAATACAACCAGGGAGGCCTGGAGCACCTCCCCTCTGCCCTGGAGAGCAACCGTGTCCACATTGCTGTGGGTGACGCTTGTAGTTTACTTCTCAACCAGCAGAGGACTTTTTGCTCTGATTTCATTTTATTCTTTGTTCTCGCCAGTTTTATTTTTTGAAGATGTCTTCTAGTCCCCAAAGAATGAATGCTTCAGCAGCAGATTCTAATGTGAGGAAACTTTTAAAAATGTTTTATTTCATCCAATTAGTGTTAACGATCCTTGTGGAGGTATTGGGAAACCTTTCACCCGAGCCTGCCATTGATAGCCTGAAAAAAATCGCAAACAATTTGCTATCACCCACCCTTTCTGCCCTCCTTCTGATAATTTGTATGCATATCTTTTTTTAAAGGTGAGGTTATGTAGAACAGGATATACCATAATAATAGCATTAACAAAGGTTTAGGGAGCATTTGCTATGTGTCAGGGAGGAGTCTGTTTTTCATAGCATCTTCTCTGTCATCCAGCTTCATAACATTAACATTTAACCCTAATAGAGACCCTGTGATGTAGGTGCTATTATTATTCCCATTTTTCAGATGAGGAAATTGAGGCATGGAGAGTTTACCTTGTTTGATTAAGTTGTACAGGTAGGAAGTGTTGAAGCCAGGTTATGAGGCAGTAGTAATAATAATGTTAATAAGATGAATAGTAGTGTCAATGATTGGTCAGTTACTGTATGTGTTAAATAGTTTGTATACATAGTAACATTTAATGTTTGAACAACTCCCTGAAATAGACTTAATTATCCCAACTTCATTGCTATGGAAGCTGAGGCCCACAGAGGGAAATTTAGGTAATATCACACAAGTAGTTAAGTGGCAGAGCTGGAAGCTGACTCAGGACTCTACTCCCTCATTTTAGACACCACACTTTCCCTGCTGCATTCTGTGTTCTAATTCCTTGCTAGTACTTACTGTCTCCTCTAGTCATTTTGGGTTAGACCCTTTCCTGCAATGATGTTGAACCTTCTATGTTCTTTCTCCTCATGCAATAGGGAACAGCTAGTTGTTGGAAAGCAGAGATCGTACCTTGTAATGTCATGAGCACTGTGTACTCCCACATATTTATGGAACAGATAAAATGAATAGAAACTAAACAAAAACATCCCCCAGCCTATATTCAACTTATTTCTTTACTGCATTTTTCCATCATTTTACTTTAAAATACAGCTGTGGTCAACCAACAAAGGTTTATTGAGTGGTTCTTACATGAAGGGTTCTGAACTGGGTTTTGGGGTATAAAAAGGCATGAGGCTTGGATGTCGTACTCCAGGGCCTTAAGTCCAACTCAAAAGGCTGGGCTGTGGACAAAGAGGTAACTTACAGGTGAGGCAGAGTGTGCCCATCAGGAAGTGGGTAATGTGTGTGCATGTGGTCAGAAAAGAGCATCCTGTTTCCATGTGGGGTGGGATTCTCTGTGGAAATGCTGAGGAAAAAGTGAGGAGCAGGAGAGAGCTGAGGTTCTCAACTATGTGGATGTCATTAATTGGAGACCTTTTGGGGCACCTGGGTGGCTCAGTTGGTTGGGCGTCTGACTTCGGCTCAGGTCATGATCTCACAGCTTGTGAGTTTGAGCCCCACATTGGGCTCTGTGCTAACAGCTCAGAGCCTAGAGCCTCCTTCAGATTCTGGATTCTGTGTCTCCCTCTCTCTGCCCCTCCCCTGCTCACACTCTGTCTCTCAAAAATGAATAAACATTAAAAAAATTGATTGGAGACCTTTCACTAAGTATCCACCTATCGTTTGGAAGTTCTGATGAATGTGTTTTGTGTTGTCATAGATTCCCCCAATAAGGTGACAAGTAGTATAGTGAATTATTTCACTGGGATCATCTGCAAAGTGAGTATCAAAAGCTAAGTTGTACCTGTTGTTACATGTCTAGAGTGTAGGCTTTGCCACTGCACAACGTTGAGGTTTTGTTTTTTGTTTGTTTGTTTGTTTTTTTAGATGAGTTAAGAAGAAAAGATCTGAGAAATGTATGAGATTGAAGTTGGATTTTGCCATAGCAACTCCATGGAATAGCGCAGAAGAATGTGTTTTTGATACTTGAGGAAACCCATGGAGTCCCCGTCTAAACATAGGAAGCTGTAGCCCTTTATTCATATCATGTGAAAAATTTACCATTTCACTTGATAGCAG